ACCTAAAGGGTCGTGGTTATTATTGTTTTTACGTCAGTACAAGTAAATATATGCCATGTTATATGTTTTAGACGTCAGTTTTTTTGTTTAGTGAACGTAGTATTTATTAACCACGACGGTTTCTAAGTTTTACACGTCGGTTTGTTTGATTTAGAGACGTTGATAAACATATTTACGTCGGTTTTTAAGTTGTTTTTGACATTTAACATTATTTAAACGTCTGTTTTTTACTAAAACCGTCGTCTATTATAGTCGAAAGGTCTCTTTTTATGCTTTATGTATCAAATCGACGTCGGTTTTAGGTTTTTTATGACGTGTAATATATTAACCACGTCGTTTTTTTTGTGTTCAAGCCGTCAAAATAATTTTCAACGTCTGTGCTAACCTAAAGGGTCGTGATTATTATTGTTTTTACGTCAGTACAAGTAAATATATGCCATGTTATATGTTTTAGACGTCAGTTTTTTTGTTTAGTGAACGTAGTATTTATTAACCACGACGGTTTCTAAGTTTTACACGTCGGTTTGTTTGATTTAGAGACGTTGATAAACATATTTACGTCGGTTTTTTAGTTGTTTTTGACATTTAACATTATTTAAACATCTGTTTTTTACTAAAACCGTCGTCTATTATAGTCGAACGGTCTCTTTTTATGCTTTTATGTATGAAATCTACGTCGGTTTTAGTTTGTTTACTGACGTGTACTATATTAACCACGTCGGTTATTTGCCGTCGTTATTTCATGTATGAAAAGACAGCGGTCGATTTCTCGTCGGTTGTAAACCATGATACACGACGGTGGATTCCCGTCGTCTATTTCGTTTTTTGTAGTAGTGTTTCCTAATGCTAAGAGGTTAATTAACTCAAATGTTTTATCGAAGTTAGATAAATACTTTAAAATGTAGGTTTTGAGTAAGTGTAATAGTGGCATAGACATTTGAGTTAATTTTGTATTTTTTATATAGTTTTCCTTAAAATATATGTTATTTTAAGTAATTAAGAACAATTAAAAACTAAAATGTAATATTTTTCTTCTTCTTAATAATAAAGCAAGACTTCGTTTCAAATTTGCTAGTAAATCTTTAAAATTTATAGAATGCATATAAACTAGCCAAAAGGTCTTGTCCAATGAAAAATGACATTGAATTGTAGATTAGTGATCTCAAGTTCGAACCCCTATGACACCTTAGTACTTTGTGTGTGTGAGGAATCACCTTCCCTCCTATTGTGGTTTTCATTTTAGATTCAAACAAGAGATAAGTCGTAAATATTTGGCAAACTTGTGTCTATTACACACATAATCCTATATGTTAGCAAACTCATTTTCTGTTAAAAGACAAATTATCAAGTACTATTATGTATCTTCTTGGTTGAAAAGTTATCAAACATCTAATAGTAATTGAGTGTTACTAACTCTTTTTTTTATTTTATATAGAAATATTTTACTTTGGCTGCCTAAAAGTTTTAGCATTATGAGCAACACTTTAATGGGCTCAGCGACGACACCTCTCAAAAATGGAAATTAAAGGCTATTCTAAAAATCTTGTCCAAATTTCTACAATGTCCAACTTCAATTCCCTCGAGATTGCATTCAAGTATTTAAGAAATTAAGTTCATTTTCCCAACTTTTAAGTGGTTAGAATCACACATAATTTTTGAGAAATCATTATGGTAGCAGACGGTTTGGCAATTTCCTCATAATTGTATTTTGGTACTACCTTTAAACAAACTTGAAAATGAAAACAGTTTCAAATATATTTCAATTTTTAATAAGGTAAAAGGGAAAAGGAAATAAATACAATTCTGGTCAAACCGGTATTCCTACAATTACAAATCAATTATAATAAAAGTAATTGTCTATAATTCCTATTATGATTTGGCGGCAAGCGACGTGTACAGTTTTGGTGTGGTGCTGTTGGAGGTGGCTTGCGGAAGAAAGCCTATTGAGATGGAGGCTGCAGAGGATGAGGTGGTGCTGATTGATTGGGTGAGAGAATTGTATGCAAGAGGGAGGGTACCCCAACCCCGAATATTACAGTTTAGCACCAACCCCACGCAAAGTACAAACTATTCATCACGATATCATGGTTGGCATTGGCAGAAGTGATTCACATCCACAACATCTCTCTTCCCACCATAATTGACCCAGATCTCGTCCTACATCACAGAGAATTTGGAAAGACATTTAAGTCAAGCAAACAAAAAAGAGAAAAATGTTTTCTCAGCAAAGAGATGACAAAATATTACAAGGCAAACCAAGTGAGAAATGAAGTACTTTCTTTTACTACATATATTTCAAATGTTCTCCATTCAAATTTTGATGGCATGTTTGCAAGTGCCTATTAAGGAAGAGCCTTTTAAGTCTTCCCATTTCCTGGATTTAAAATATATCATAAAGATAAATAAAGATGGATTTACCATTCGCTGTAGTAGTGGTCTGATTGCATCTTTGCATCTTTTCTCTGTACCATCCTTATCTTGTTCGGTGAAGAACAGATCTCTTTACTAAAGTAGCGGTGGAGATTACAAACACCCACATGCTTTAGCAGTAGTGGTATTAGAGCTGTCTCTAGTGGAGACTTGCTTTTTAGTAAAGCAACAACTATCAACGGATTTGATATGCCTTTACAAGAACCGTTTGATCTTGGGCTAGATGCAGATTTAAGGTTTCTGCATGAAACTGAGCCATGGGGCTTGAGCTAAAACTCAACTTCATATAGCTTTTGGAGTGCTATACTTCCCTGGAAATAATCGACTTAATATGTCGGCGGTGATAACAGTTGAAGAAGAAGAAGAGAAAAGAGAGAGAATATAGAAAAGAGCTGTGTATATTTTCCTTAATGAGAAAGAGCGTACAGTGCTTTTACTTTATAACAGCCTAACCACTAGATTAGGATAACAACCAATAACAATCTTACACTTGGCACACTATACTAAACTCTTAACTAACAGGCATGTGCTATTCTCACTATCATCCCCCCTCAAGATCAAGTTAGGGTGGCCTAAGCTTGAGATTGCTGCAGTGAAAGTCAAAGGAAGGAGAGCAGAGGCCTTTGGTAAGAATATCTGCAACCTGAAGGGAAGAAGGAACATGCTGCAAGTGCAGCTGACCACCAGTAACCTTTTCTCGGACAAAATGGCAGTCAACTTCTATATGTTTGACGCGAGAGTGAAGGACTGGATTGATGGAAAGTGCCATGGCAGACAGATTGTCACATAAGAGTAAAGGAGGGGAGGACATAGGAAAATGCACATCGCGAAGAAGCTGTTGAAGCCAAGAGAGTTCAGCTGCAGTTGTTGCCATCGCCCTATATTCCGCCTCAGTAGAGGAACGAGATACAGCATGCTGTTTCTTAGATGCCCAAGAAATAGGATTGGAGCCTAGAAACACAACAAAGCCAGAGGTGGAACGACGATCATTGGGATCACCAGCCCAATCAGCGTCAGTGTAAGCCTTCAAATTGAGAGAACCAGGAGAGAATAGGAGACCATAGTCCATAGTGCCCTTAAGATATCGCAGAATGCGTTTAACAGCAAGATAATGTGATTCCAAAGGAGTAGTCATGAATTGACAGACTTAATTAACACTAAAGGAAATGTCAGGTCTTGTAAATGTAAGGTATTGCAGAGCACCAACCAAACTGCGATAATGAGATGGATCAGAAAAGAGGAGGCTACCATCCTTAAGAAGCTTATGATTTGGATGACAGGGTGTGATACAAGGCTTGCAATCCAACATCTGTGCTTTACTCAAAATATCTGTAATGTACTTAGACTGATTAACAAAGATACCACCTGACTGATACTGAATCTGCAGCCTCAGAAAATAATGAAGATCTCCCAAATCTTTCATATCAAACTCCTGAGCAAGCTGAGAAATGACCTCCTTAATAGAGCTCAT